GGGGGGGGAGAGAAAAGTTTAGTACTGCAAGTTTAAAACTGCACAATTCTCCCAAGGTATCAGTGCACTGTTATTTATTTAAGGTGTTCAGCGAGTTGGCTCTTCAAGCACATCGGAGAACTTGCCACAGTTCTGCTGTGGATTCCTGTAGGCTGTCTCCATGTCTCCTATCCTAATGTTGAGATTAGGACTCTGTGGATGTTGTACCATCTGCTATAGACAGTGGAGACAGTTAATTACGGTCGACATTGTTGTCATGCAGCAGAGAGAATTTGGGAAGATGCTGCTGCGTGTTGAATAAGATTCTAAGCATATAATGTGCTTGAAACTTTTGCATGTGTGAAAAGACAGAAAAAATCCACAAAGTTCATTCAATACCCATTTCTGAAGCTCTTGTTCATATCTTGCCCTGTTCAGAATTTCTGTTTTTCTGCACACTGTACAGTACATTTCTATTGTGACCATGTTGAACAAAAACCTGAACATCCTTGAACAATAGCAGTGAAGTCAAACTTACTGCAAGGTTCATGTATTTGATTACTGTGGCCCTTAGTTGGCATTTTTTTGTCTTTTTCTTATGATTTCCAGCACATGATACATTATACTCGTTTTAAATGCTAAATAGAATTACCAGACTAATCGTAAAGGCCCGTTAACATCCTGTAACTCAAAATGATACTTTGTTAATAAAGATCTTCTGGTGTTACATCTTATTGGAGCTAATTGTGTCTCGCTGGCACCTGCATGACCCGCACGTATCTACAGTCGTTGCTCTGGGATGAGCACAGGTTTTCATGTCTCATTAACAGAGGTATGAGTTAATGCGATGGGATGGCAGGCATGATGAACCCTCCCCTTGTCTTTGGACATGTGTACATTTGCCAGCTCATTTAATTAAACGGCCAGAGCTAGCCGTCGTCTAACCGGGCAGTTCATTAAACCTGTATCGCACACACAGAAAGGCAAAATGGATGCTGATCTTAATCTGGACCGAAGGAAATGATTTCCAGGCAATTGCTTCATTCAAGATATAAATGTATGCTGCATATATTTGGCCTGCTTTGTTTTGGGTGCCTTAATGTATTCTGCGTACCAGATGCTGCAGCTAAGACAAGAAAAGTATTTTTTTCTTTTTAAATATTGCACTAATATGCCTTTAGAATGTTTTAACTTGACTGGAGCCAACACTCCCAGCAGCTGTGACCTTGAATGCATATATGAAAGCTTTTTTTAATCATCATGTGTTAATGCCGGTATCTATATGCCACTGCCCTTCAACACTCGCCCCCGCCTACTCTCACACGACACTGTATATGAAATGGTTTGTTCATCTTGGTAATATGCTGCATCTAATGATGCATATGAAAAGCAATCAGCGAGGCAGCAGAGGATCTGCTTGAGGAGCAGCGTTAATAACTTAGGGAAGCAGGAGATTGCAATGCCCCCGCTGGCTCGACGTGCACACATATTACACACAGGAAATTCACAATATGCTGCATTCAGCACACTATTTTGATATACATGTCATTTTTCATGTACGTCTTTGTGGCTTGGTTGGGGTTGGAAATACCATCACTCATCTTCTGTGAGGTTGGAGGACATATTTGGGGTGGTGAAGAACATTTGGTTTCATCTCTGTTTTGAACATTTGATACATTGTTCCACCACAACATTAAAACAAAAAACAACAACATTGTGCAAGTGTCTGGCATGCTCTATAAACCTCTCTGATCTGTTAAGGCATAGAGTCCACAAGGAATCTAGTCTGACTCACCAGATGTACACTGTGGGTATACGAGGTGTGTCAGAAAAGTTTCAGGACTGGTGTCACAAAAGATACATTTCAAATCCAAACTACAAACTACAAGTTTTCCCCTTTCAAGTAATCCCTTTGGATTCTAATGCACTTTCCCAGCCTTCTCTGCCACACTGCCATGCACTTCTGGAAGGATTCTTCTGGGATATTCCACTGTTCCGTCGTCACAGCCATCTTGACATCATCGACATCTTCAAAACGGGTCCCCTTGATGACCCCCTTGAGCTCAGGGAGGAGTAAAAAAATCCCACACAGCCAGGTGGGGTGAGTAGGGAGGTTGCTCCAGCACGGCGATGTTCTTCTCAGCCAGGGACTGTTGGATGCTCAGGGCATTGTGAGCAGGCGCGTTGTCATGGTGAAGCAGCTACGACTTGTCCTGCCACAACTCTTGCCTCTTCTCGCGCACTGAATGAAGCAAACGCTGCAGGATCTCTTTGTAGATGTGCTGGCTGATCATCTGAAGGGGACAACTCCTAGTTTGTAGTTTTGGTTTGAAATCTATCTTTTGTGACACCAGTCCTGGAACTTTTCTGACACACCTCATAAGCCTGCCATTGGCCGCTCATTTCACTCTCCCCTTTCTTCTCCTTCCACTATCTGCTTGTTACTGTTTTAAAAATCCATTTGCTACAGAAACAACAGCAAAAACCTCCCAGCCTACCCTACCACACTGACATTTTTAACTTTGCAGAGGATTTGGATTGTCCAGTAAGGAAGCCCTGCTTGCTTATTTAAATGAATTATTCATTTTAATAACACTCAGCTCCTTGCATGCAAATGTTTAACATAAACAATTCCACTTGTCACTATTCGGAGGGAACATCAAAGATGCATCCTTCGCTTAGCTCTGCCCAAGACAAATGTAATTGATTTAAAGAAAACAAACAAGTCAGAGTGTTTTCCCCTATGGCAGAATAATAATGAGGTGCAGCCAGACAATTATTTACTATAGAAGTGCTGGCTAAGCAAGACTACAAGAGCTTAAAGGTGTCCTGTGGTATCATTCAACAAGACATTTGCAGCAATCCTGGAAGTTGTGAGGGGAGGCCTACCTGAATCCTGCACAAGTTCAATGGGACTGAGATATGGGCAATTTCAAGTCCAAATCGACACCTTGAACTTGGTCATGTTCTTCAAGCCACTCCCAGCAGAACATTGGCCAGAGCATCACACTTCCTCCACCAGCCTGCTTTCTTACTATCGTACATCCATCTCCTCTCCAGGTGAATGATGCACAGGCTCTTGCAAGGCCATATGATGCAAAAGAAAATGCGATTCATCAGATCAGGCCACCTTCTTCCATTGTTCCATGTTCCAGTTCTGATGCTCACCTGCCCATTGTTGGTGCTTTAAGTGGTGGACTGGGGTCTGTATGGATACTCTTCTGAAGCCCTGTACACCTGTAACAACAAGCTGTGATGCTCCCTGTAGTCTGACTCCTCTTTATAGCCACGGTTAAGGTTTACAGCAATTTGTGCTATGGTAGCTCTTCAGCGGGATATGACCTACGGGGCCAACCTTAGATTTCCACATAAATCAGTAAGTCTTGGGTACTGTTGACCCTGTCAGTAGTTCACCAGTTGCTGTCCTTGGACAACTTGGGAATTCCACGGTTTTTGAGATACTCTGACCCCGTTGTCTAGCTATCACAATTCGCCCCTTGACAAAGTCACTCAAATCGTTATCATTTCCCATTTTTCCTACTTCCAACACTTCAACTTCAAGAACCACCTCTTCATTTGCTGCCTAGCATATCCCATCCCTTGACAGGTGCCATTGTAACGGAGTGATCAATGTTACTCAGTTCACCTGTCAGTGGTTTTAAAGTTGTGACTGATCGGGATATTCTGCACATGTGTGCAACCCTAGGATCAATGAAAAACCACCCCAGTAGGCTGTGACCTGGCTGTGTGGAGGAGCAGCTTAAATTATTTACTTGCTGCCCATTCGAGCCGTGCTCACTTTCACACCTCGCCAGCAACAACATCTCGATCTCTGCCTCCCTGCCTTCCATTCACGCCTAATGACAACTGATGGCTGATAGTGTAAACATGGATAAATGCTTTACTTAAGCTCCCCTCCTCGCTGTGTATTGTTTCAAGTATAATCGACACAAATGCGTTGTGTACCGATGATGATAGGTTTATGATATAAATGCAAAACATTACATAATTTATTGTAGCCTCTGCCTATGGTGCATTGCCCAGTCAGCACAAATCCTACAGGAAAAAACCCACGTGCATAATTTATGTGAACAGTTGAGGCTTCAGAAAGCAAAGCTGCTTTGCTGGTTAAAACATGATTAACAGCTGATATTATCCTGTCTCTGTCTTTCCTGATATTAGACCACAGATATCAAAACCATGCATCTAGAGTGAAGCCAACTACAGGTGAATATATTTGAAGTAGCTCGCACTTGTTTGTATACAGCTGCTGGAATGTCAGTGTCGGCTAAGGCTGTAGATTTTTTTTATTTGCTTTTTAAATGAGCTAAAAAAAATAAAAAAAAATCACTCTAATAGTTCCTAATAGTCCAGGAGTCTGAACAATTCTCTGAGGTGCTAAGATTAATGAGACTGGCACCCTAACAGCTCTCCACTATGACTGTGGAGGCTTTTCATTAATGCTGGTTTTCTCTCAGGCTAGTTTGTGTGTATTGACCCTCAGCTTAAGTACTATTTGTGCCAATTTATTGTCGTTATTCTCAACCCCGGAATACGTTAATTAACAAAGTTACAATGCTGCTTGACTGGAGGTTGTGGACGTGCACGGCGGACTCTCCTCGGCTGTGATTTGACTGATGTGGACAAACAGGGCACGACACGTCCTCCCAAATTGAAATGTCAGCCATCACGTTAATTCCACGGAATCGGTGTAAGAGTGAAAGAGAGAGAGAGGGAAAGAGAGAGCTGGAGGGGGGGAGAGACGGAGGAGCAGGGAAATGTTTTCACCAAACCCGTGACCCCTTCTGCCCTCCCCACCCATCTTGTTTTATTACCCCACTCCCCCTTTAATTTTTCATTTGCCACAGCTTCTCCAATTATTCTGCATCGCCTCCTCTGCCGTTTTCACGTTTCTACCTCTCGACCAGACGCTCACCATCCTCTCACTCTCACTCTCTCTCTCTCTCTCCCCCTCCCCCCCGTCCTCTCTCTATCTCTCTCTCGCTCTCTCTCGGTTTCAGCGAGATGAAGCAGGAGCTGGCGGAGGAAGGCAGCAGATGCTCCATCCTCTCCAAGCAGCACCGCTTCAACGAGCACTGCTGCATCCGCTGCTGCGCGCCCTTCACCTTCCTGCTCAACCCCAAGCGCCAGTGCCTGGACTGCCAGTACAACGTCTGCAAGACCTGCTGCACCTACAGCAAGAGGGACAAAGCCTGGCTGTGTTCGGCGTGCCAGAAGGGCAGGTTAGTGTTTTCACACAGACATTCACATACACACCCACAGCAGAGACGCGGGAGAGATTAGAGTGATGGCAGAGGAGTGAATGGGGACAAGACATATGAGAGAACCTGTGAATTGGTTGATTGGAGGACACTGAAGTGAGGGGAAAATCGGGGTGGAAAAGAAAAGAAATAGGCATTTAAAGGGGGGAATAAGAGGAGATTGAGAGAGGAAGATGGTTGAAGGAACACTGGCACTGAGGGAGACAGATGTGAGAGGGGAAAAGTGAATGAATGAGAAAGAAAGGTGGACTTTGATGGAGTCAGCGCTGCAAGGATTGGTGTCACTGAGTCTGCTTCTTATTTGTTTGCTGTGCTGCTGTTTTGAATATTTAACTATGTATTATTTCCTAGTTGAAAAGAAAACTGTTTTTGTTTTAGTTTTTGTGCATTTTTCACATTGATGGAATCGCAAAGGAAGGAGAGGACACAGGGTTATTAAGAGAAATGCAATTGAGCAATATGTGTAGGAAAAGAGGAAAACGGCATTTGTGCTCCTGAGAGACATGGAAAGGCAAGGAGTATAAATAATCAGGCAAATGTCATTTTTTTCCCCCAAGTTTTTAGATTTTGACATGATTTTTTGGGAATTTCATGGATTATTTTGCCTCTCTTCTCACCACTTGTCCCCTGATCACATCCCTGTTGACAAACTGGAAATCGGGGCTCTTAAGAAAAGAATTTACATCTGTGATTTATAGAAGAAGAGAAAACAACAGGAGGAGCACAAGAGGCAGGGGAATGCACCGCGACTGGTTGTATTTGCAAATGAGCTGTATGTGCATGTGTCTGTTTAGGGTGTTTATGCATGCATGTCTGTCCGAAGCCTTGGGAGTTGTGTGTGAATCCCCTCTACTCGCCATTGGATGAATATTAAACTCTCCATGTCTGGGCAGCAAGGGTGGGGTGCTGGAAATACTATACGTTGGAGTATGGGGAGGCAGTTTGTGGTGGATTTGTGTCAAAATAAATCGAGGGTTTGGAATATTGTACATTTGAAAATGCGTGAATATGTATGTATTGTGTGTTTCATAGCAAATCTGCTATTGTTTCTACACAGATTGTCATGTCTTTTTCCTACCTGAGCTCCCTTGTTTGGTGATTTCTGCCCTCAAAATATGATGCTACCTTTGCTGTAATTTTGCAATATCACAGCGTTTTGGATTGTCTGACCGTTTGTGCATGTTAGCGTAAATTGAGGTAGACAGGATTGCCGAGCTGTCCAAAAGTGTGCCCTTCCACTTGGCCTTATTTCTTCTCCTCAGTCCCCCAGCTCCGTCTCTTTCTGTCTTCCATTGATTTTTTACCGCACGGTGTATTGAGTTAGACCCGCTGCCCTCAGTCCTGCTGTATGAGACAGGAGGGAGGAGGGAGGAGTGAGGGAACAGGAGGAATAGGGAAAGGGATGATGGCAGTCAAAAGAGGTGGCAAGGTTTGCATCGATCATCTCTCCTCCTTTCTGTCTGTCTCTCTTTCTCTGTGTGCGTCTCTGCCGGGGGCTTGGTAATGTTCTCATTAGGGGTTTAGACTGAGTCACAGATGGGCCCGATGTCACAACATTGCCGTTTACCAGCTACATATAAATACAGCACTTTTCATTAGCGCATTAAACAGGCTTAAATCTGGTTTTAGCATGAATTACTCTCTCCGGGTGGAGTCATGTCATTTGGAACAGTGATTTACAGCTTGCACAAGTGTTGAGCTTCAAGCCGGAGGAGCCCTAGACATTATTTTGGAAATGGCCATTAGTTCCTATTGGAGTGGATGATTGCAAAGAAAAGGCATTGATCTGACGCTAAATAGACTGTAACTGTGGTGCAGCAGGAACAGAGTCATTATACAGTAGATGTAATACTAATAATTCAGTTTGTCATCTTCTTGTCTTTTGCAGCATTTTTATGAGAAAACGTAAAATGAAGGAAAACATAAGCCTAAGCTGAGTCAAAAATCACAAGTTGAATAAAAAGCTAGACAAGCTAAGCAGTGGCCCATTTTGAACTATTACCAGGGGAATTCTGCTGATTCTAAATGCAAAAAAATTGCAATAGACGCAAACTGCCAAATGGTCTCAGTCACATGCACCGGCTGTCCATCAACATTCACAGTGGCACGGCCATGCTGCTCACAAGTGTGATCCATCTTGGGAAAGCAGATTTGTAATCATCACACACATCGACGCACTCAGAGGCTAAAGTCACCCACTCACACATGGACGCACATAACAAAGTATGCATGTCTATCTATTAAGACACAAGCCTCCGAGCGAACAGACATGAGAGCATGTGCATCGATTGTGTGTTTATTAATTACATTTTCGAGCAGCTCTAGCTGAGGTGGATATTACCATTGATTCTTCTAATGTTTCAGTTTTATTGGGGGCACCCGCAGAGATGCTTGTGTGTTGATGGCAGATGGTATCTGAGGAGAAAAGACTCAGTGATTCCGCAGCTTTGTGATAACACCTTTCTAGCCTTGTAAAACACACGCACACGCACACACACACACAAATACATACACATGCAGCAAACACAGCTTTCCCTTCTGAGCGAGTGGGACAAGCATGACCGTTTGCAGTCTGGTTGAATTAACAGCATCCTCACACACACACTCATAAACACGCATACCACACATCTATGGTTTTATCAGAGAAGTCAAAGCATTTTTTGGTGGAAACTGAAAAGTGAATTTTTCTCATTTTGGCTCCACACCCAAAGCAGCAGGCAGAATGTTAAAGGGGGAAGAGAAGGAGATGAAGAGAGATGAGAAAGGAAGGTCAAGAGAGACAGACAGAGGAGGAGGGCAGCAGGATGAAAAAAAGGAATGACAGAGGAGGGAATGACCTGTCCCAATTATTCGAGAGTGGAAATGCCATTAAATTCTCCCCTTGTTATGCTTCTCAAACTGCTTTGTTCCTCTTTCACTTTGTCTCCGCCTTTGAACAGCGTTTCTCTGCTTCCCCTCGCCTTTTTCCTTTCTTGTTTTTTTTGGTTTTGTATTCTCGTGTGATGTAATTCTTCCTCTTTCAGTCCTGTCCTTCCTCTCTCTACCCAATACTGTACCATTTTCCACATTTACGTTTAAGCCACTGCACAATGTAGAGTCGTCAGACCACAGAATGGTGCACCTATGGTGTGTGTGTGTGCGTTGTGTGCACAGAAATAGCAATAAATTAAAGTGACAAACTGCTTTTACCACTTTCATAATCTAAAGTATGACTGTGAGGAGATTATGGCATCTGCTGCAGACCTATACTTTACTGTGCGTGAACACAAACACAACGGGAGCGGATTACTCACAAGCACGTGCACACTGAATTCACACACAAGCACAAAGCCTTTCCGGTTATTTAAATTGATTTTAATTGCATTTATTTTTGCCATTAAATTTCTTTTTAAACCGGGTGATCAGGTCAGCTTAAGACTATATGCATGGAAGCACATTATTTCACTGTGGATGCACGTGCAAATGCAAACGCAGACCCACACACATGCCTCTCAATCCACTTATTTGCACACACACTGCTGCAGTCGTAGTGTGGCTTCAACAGTGTGTCATATTTTTTGTGAGACGAAGCAAGTCTGGTGCCATAACCACATACAGTAGCTGACAGATTTTTTAATTCAGTTCTTTGCAATAGACCTACCTACTTCTTAAGTCCAAGTAACATGTGAAGTACTCGCTAGGTTGCAACCTCATAAATACGCACGCTGACATTTGCAGATATCTCATGCATGTCACATCCATTTACTGTCAGCAGCACCCACAGTCCAGTCTCAGAGACTGATTGTGAAAACAGGAGGTCTGTCTGTTTATTTTCATCAATAAGGAGAAGCATACGGACAATTAACACCTCAGATTTTTTAGCAAATTTGCGATTGATAGAGACTGTCAGTCACATAGCATTGTTTTCAGTAAAAGATAATACATACACTGATCAGACCATCACCCACAGAAAGGTGCCGTTATTGTATTATTGTGGAAGTGCTCCATATTTCATAGCACACACATCTACTAAATGTTAGAAGTTTGTATCAGCAGCTGTCGAATATTTATTTTTCACAGCATTACATAGGTATTAGATATTGCATCCTTTCCCCCCTGTCTTTATTCATCCATTTAAACGTTATTTATTGCTTGCCTAAACCTCCTTCTGGCTACACGCTGCTTTGTCGTTCTTGTCCACAAAGTTTAATATTGAAATCATTTCAGCTTGTAAGGAAAATCAATCCTGTGACTCTTCCATTGATTTTCTTAAACAGGCTGACAAAGCCAGAGCCCTTCATGGCACGCTAAAACAGATTGATTTGTACAGCTGATTTGCTTGTTAATACACAATATGGCAAACCATGAGGCTGGTGTCTTTTTCCTTTGGACTGCACAGTTTCTGTGACCCTTTCACCTGGCTGTATCTCAATGCCCTGGCTCCATGTTATACCTCCATACAAATTGCAAATTTGGACATACAGTTTTCTTGTTTCTGTGTTTATTTTGTGCACATGAATATTCATCTCAAAATGATCTCATAACAATAGCGGTGTGTTTATGAAGACACCAGCGCTATGAATTCAGTGAACTCTCTTGCTGCTGCCAGACAAGCACCTGCGGCTAGCAGAGGAAGCAAGTCACAGTGTGATCTTTTTCTGTCCTCCTTGCGGGGGTATTTTTATCAGTGTGGGTGAGCAAGACTAGTCTTAGACGGGGAGGGTGTGCCCTAGAGCACCAGGCTGTAGATGAAATGCGTGTGCACCACAGAGGCCTCGATTTTAATAAGACATTTACATGTCTGTGCTGCTTTGTGTCCTGCTGTTTGTTTTCTGTGTTTTTGTAAGATCAGGTTTTAGCAGCCGGGGTGCCAGTGGATTGCAGGACTTATTCTTGTTTTTTGTTTTTTTTTCCCCAATAAAGAGCCAAAACAGCAAGCTGCAAGCCTCAGTAGGTGAAGAATGGAAGCCTCCTCTCCCATT